AGGCTGAGGCAGGAGGATTGCTGAGACCAGCCTGGGCTACATAGTGAATTAAAGGTCAGCAGGAACTACAAAGCAAAACCCTGTCTCAAAAAAACAAAATAAAAACAGAAACAAAAACAAAAGAGACAGAGAGCGACTGGGAAAGAAAAGTAAAACTGTCACTACTCACAATTGACATAATTATACTCATAATTGATATAATTATATATGGAGAGAGAAAAATTTTTAAATTTATGAAAATGGGGCTGGGGATTTAGCTCAGCAGCACAGCGCCTGCCTGGCAAGCACAAGGTCATGAGTTTGATTCCCAGTACCGGAAAAAAAAACCAAAAAAAAATTTATGAAGAAACTCTTAGAACTAATATATTAATTTAGCAGGGTTTCTGGACATATAAAGTACCATTAAAAAAATCAAGTATCCAGGAATAAATTTAGCAAAGGTTGAAAAACCCATACTCTGAAAATTTTAAAATGTTCCTGAGGAAAATTTAGAAACACCTCATGAGGGGTTGGCCTCCTTTGGGTTCATGAAACTCAAATGTTATTACCCATTTCTCCCTAAACTGCTCTACAGATGCAATGACATCCCAATCAAAATTTCAACAGACTTTTCGCAGGGCAAAGCAGGTGGAAACTGGCGAACTGATTCTCTGACATATGCGGAAATGCAAAGGACCTCCGAATTGCCAAAACCATGTTTAAAGAGGAGGACAAAGTTGAAGACTCACACTGGACAGTATCAACCCTTACTACAGAGCGGTAGGGCGTCGTCAGGAGGAGAGCAGGCAGGTGGAGCCATGAATGCAGTCGGGCAGAGGGCCTGTGGCAGGCAGCAAAGTGGTCGCCTGTGTTTCGCAATTGTGTTCCACAGCATTTCAGGGGGCAAAGATGGTTTAGCAATCGGTTATGCCAGGCAATGAAGTGTCCCCGTGGGTAACATGAGCCTTGATTTCTGCCTCACACTCTGCACAGATATTAATTTGATATAAATGTGGACGCCAACAGACTTTAGGAAAAATGCGGGAGAATATCTATGAACTTTGACTACGTAAAAACTAAACACACACACACAAAAAATTAACCATAAAAGAAAAGAAAGTCAAGCTGGAAGTATAGCCCAGTAGCAGTACACTTGCCTAGCATGCATAAGGCTCTGAGAGGCAATAAGAGAGACAGGTGCTCGGATGGAACCTAATCAGAAAAAGATAAAAAAAAAAAAAAAAAAAAAAACTAAACACACACACACAAAACATTAACCATAAAAGAAAAGAAAGTCAAGCTGGAAGTATAGCCCAGTAGCAGTACACTTGCCTAGCATGCATAAGGCTCTGCGTTGAGTCCCTAGCACCAGCCCCCAACACACAAAATAAAAGGAAAGAAGGAAAAAGGAAGGAAGGAATGAACAAAGGAAGGAAGGAAGAAGGGAAGGAAGGGAAAGAGCATTTGTCTAGCATGCGTATGGCTCTGCATTCTATCCTCAGCAGCACACAAACAAAAATTAGAAATGTCTGTTCCTTAAAAAGTAGCATTATGGATGTTTAAAAGAAAACCAACTGAGTGTGGTATTGCATACCTGTAAGCCTAGCATTCTAGGAGGCTGAGACAGGAGGATCACATGTTCAAGCTCAGTGTGGGCAACTTAGCAATTTAGTGAGACCCTATCTCAAAAACATATATAAAAAGGGCTGAAGATCTGGTTCAGTGTAAAGGCCCTGGGTTCAATCCCCAGTACTGCAAAACAAAGCAAAATACAAAATAGCATTTACCCTGGAGGTGGGTCTGTCTGGGAAGCACCTTCAGAGCCCTGTAGGGTGCTGGAAATTCCTCCATATTGACCTGGGTGGTGGTTGCACAGGTGTACACATATATATAAGGCTATTGAGCACACTTTATGTAAGTTATACCTTGAATTTTAAGAAGCTCAGCTAGCATCTATCTGGATGTCCAAGTGTATGTAGATGAAAGGGAAACAGCTGTGGATATAGCTCAGCACGGCACAGCGCCTGCCTGGCAAGTGCAAGGTTGTGAGTTTGATTCCTGGTACAAAAAGAAAGAAAGAAAGAAAGAAAGAGAGAGAGAGAGAGAGAGAGAGAGAGAGAGAGAGAGAGAGAGAGAGAGAGAGAGAG